TTCCGTGTGGGATTAATCGTTAACGTTCCAGAATAATCCTCGCGCCGCGAATAATTTTCCGCGTGATCCACGATGGCGAGATGAGTCTTCGCGTAAACGAATTGTACGATAATTCGCACGATAATTACATATACCGACGGACAGACCGATCGTGCGGATCGAGGTCTTTGCTTGTACACCAACGCAACAATTATCGTGTGCGTCATTACGCCGCGCTTCCGCTCGCTCGATCCCGCTCGTACAAACGCTCTCTGTTGCTGCAGCTGCCGATCCCTGGAATTGAACGGGTCCTATTACTGCGAGTGGAATTACAATGGCCTCGGTCTGGACTATCAAATTTTGGCGGGGCCGAGCTTCATCGCGATCTACACGATCGTAGGTATTATCCTGGGGGTCGCGGCTGACAGATACAACAGGTAACATCAGCTTGCGACGTGCTTTCCAAGCAAGAGGCACAGCGCAGTGGGTCGTTTCATCTCTCCTTTAACAAACAGGATTTTTTACCGAATACAATAAGGATACAATGATTCACCGTCTCTGTATCTGTGTCTCTCGCTGGAAAGCCGCTGGAACCTATAATTGCGCACAGAACCAAATATATTCGCTACACCTTCAAACGCTTCTTCTTTCTCGTGACAGAGTGAAACTGCTGACCGTCTGCACTGTAATATTCAGCGTTGCGATCGTCCTGAGCGGGGCCGTGGTCGAATACTGGCAGCTCGTTATTCTGCGAATGCTTCTGGCGGCGGGGTAAGTTCCTGGTAATTGACGAGCTGCGATCGCGTCGTGTTAGAAATTGCGTTAGAAATTAAAAGTCAATCCGAACGAATGCCGCAGAGAGGCGGGATGCAATCCGTTGGCGACTGGTCTTCTGTCAGACTGGTTCTCGGAAGAGCAACGGGGCCTCGTCATGTCCATTTTCAATTGGGGCATTTACGGCGGTTACGGCATCGCCTTTCCGGTCGGTCGGTACATACCTGATCTGAACGCCTGGGACCTGGTGAGCTATTATCCGACAGGCATTGTCTCCTTTCTGCTATTTTCTCCCTCTCTCTCTCTCTCTTTCTCTCTCTCTCTCTCTCTCTCTCTCTCTCTCTCTCTCTCTCTTTTCGCATTTGGTTTTCAAAGCCGGCGTGCTCCGGCGAGTACAATTGCTCGATGTACAGCCTGAAATCATTTTCGCGCGGAAGAAAAGCATAACGAAGGTCTTGAATTACTTCGATAGCACAACGGAGTATTTGGCGACGAAATTGGTAGAAGAAAAGGACGCATATACAAATGACATTATTCAGAATTAAACGCTTGACGGAACATTACATAATATCAGCAGAGCGATAAATTAATTAAAATGTCGATACAATTAGTGGGTAATTAAATTGTGTTATTAATCGCGACAGGGCTGGAGGATCTGTTATTATGGAGCCGGAGTGATCGGCTTAATCATCGCCGTCCTCACCGGTCTGTCGTTAACCGAGCCGGAAAGGAAGACGATCGGAGAGGAATCGACTAACGACGGGGAGCGACTGTCGGTTTGGAAAGTACTGCTGCAACCGCGCATTGTTCTTTTATGCCTCGCCGCCAGCATCAGACATAGCGGTAAAAGGCAATACCTTGAAGCGAAAGGATTGAGATACATATCGAGGGTATATTAGCGAGTCTATTCGAGTTTGCACTAATTCGGCGAATTTGCCTCGCCCACCCCCCTCCCCTCCCATCCGCCCCCGTGATACTTTCTTTTCTTTAAATACACTTTATCTAATAAATACTAAAAATCTGTGAATTTGAATTTCGTCGATTTGAAGAAGGAACGAGTCAAATCCTGACTTAAGCGATATAGCCTCTCGTTTTGAAGTGCCGGAATTAATTTTAAAATATTCCACACTAATTGTATGGAAAAAATTAGATCTCGACGAAATAAATCAGTTTCCACTTGTGATCTGGAATGAACAAAAGATATCGTAAACGCAAAGGCTCAATGGGTTGTTTCTTAATAAATGGTGCACCGAATGCTCTGCGAGTCTTACATTTTGGATAAGCCATTACTGAACCTGATGTCTGTGACATCATTTTATTTACCATATTATAAGCAGTGAGAAATATCAAGTGTGACAAAATACTTCATTTCACCGGGATTTTCCAATTTTCCATATAATTAGCCCTTTATTTCACAGTCGTCTAAAATTATTTGATATGACCGCAATTAAATCGTCAACATAAAGGGACGATTATCTTTACTCTTTCCTATTAATAAGTCTATTTCCTTCTTCGATCATGCTATTTACTTTCAATTTATGTCACAATCTCTTTTTTTTTCTTTTTTTTTTTGAATTGCACGTACTGCTTTACGCAAACAGGACATCCTGTCGCTTTTTTTCAGGCGGTTTGTGTTTCGCTTACAATTGCGATCTGTACTACAGAGACTACTTTCCGGACTACGATCTCGGCTGGTGGCTCTTCGCCGTCACAATTGTCATCGGTAGTCTGGGCGTCGTGGTCGGTGGAATAGTCAGCGACAAGATCGTAGCAAAAATGGGAATTCGTTCGCGTGTAGCGTGTCTGGCGATCAGCCAGCTAATCGCAACGCCGTTCGCATTTGGTTCGGTGTACTTCAATCCTCTTTGGGCAATGATCACGCTAGGAATCTCTTATTTCTTCGGTAAGACGCGACAGAATTGAACGCTCTAAATTTCCAAGCTGAAACATTCCAGAGAAGAATGTCGATACGTATTTACATACAGCCGTTTGCCTTTGAATTCAACGATCGTTTTATTTGCAGCTGAAATGTGGTTCGGAATAGTGTTCGCTGTCGTGGTGGAGATTGTCCCTCTGAAGCTGCGATCAACAACCGTCGGCGTTTTCCTGTTTGTCATGAATAACATTGGCGGAAACTTACCAATTCTCGTCGAGCCTACCAGAATAGCCATCGGTTTCCGTGAATCGTTGTATATTTTCTACGCTGGCTGCTACGGCATCAGTAAGTATACGTAACGGAATAGGAAATTCATTCTTATTGCCGCCGTATAATCCGTTTGTATTTGCAATCGCTTATGTCGTTGAACTTTTTACGGAAGTTTCAACTCAGGAAGCGAGAAACATCTTGAAGCAATTGTAATAATAAATTCCAATTGTGATATCGCTAGAACGTTTCAAAATGTTTCTAGGCTATTGTTAGGAACGACTTTTACAGATACAATTCTTGATTTTATTATCATATCTCTATATATAAAACATTGACGAATCTAAATGAATAGCTGTAGGTATATCTAAATAAGCTAAAAGACAGAAAACGACTGGTAAAATTACTCTGGCAAGCCTTCGATCCAAAAAACGTGTAGTCGGATGATAACATCAGACACTTTGACGTAGGTTCCATTATGTTCTTCTTCACCATGTTCCTAATGGACGGTCCCGCGGAGGTGGAGAGAAAAGTGGACAAGGAGGCTCCGCCAGCGTACGACAATAGCACATTTACTAACGACGATGGCCAATTGCCAACGTTGGAACTGCCATCGTTTCCGGCGAGACCGCCGATCTACGAGCATTCCCGGCTATGAGCGGGAAAAGGCTCTTGCTCCAAAGAGTGTAATGTAAATAGTGTTTCAGTTATAGTTGAACTAGGCATGAGTCAGGTAGCTAAAGATTGGACGACATTAACCCATTAACGTCGAGATTTTACATCGAGCGTGTCTCGCACTGTTGACAGTTGATAAATTGAAATTGATATAATCTACACGTTTCTTTATTTATAATGGAAAAATACCAGATACTTTGTTTACCAGATATTCTTTTGCGTCTTTCGTCGGCCAAACGTTGATGGGTTAAAGTTCCTCGCAGCCGTCAAGTCCGGGGCTTGCGAAATTATGCAAAGGCGCGACGTATACAAAGCAGCAACTGCGATAATTAAGAGTTTCTGTTTTGTTTAAACGCGGCGTGTGTTGCAAAACATTCACGAGCATGGTGGATTGCATAATGCTCTTGATAAAGAAGTTTACAAAAAGGTTGATAAATTCCGACTATCTTCAAAATACGTTATGTGTTTTTAAAATAGAAGTCTGTAACGAAGTATCTGCAGGTGTAATTTTTGTAAAAAAAAAAAAAAATAAATAAATAAATAAAAATTAAAACTTCGATACATAATACTAAACTTAATATCGTTGGGAAACGGAAATGAGTGAGGCACTGATTGTGAGATTTGAATATACGGAATTTCTCGTTTTCCATCCTAGTATTTAGCGCGACACTCCAACGATGTTCCATTGTTGCCATAATTATTCTGGTCATCCACGTATACTTTGAAATTATAACCCTGCGATTCTCTTTTAAGCCATTTTAATTTCAGTCACGTCAATCGTATAATTATACCTACGTATCTATTATATTAGGATCCAGGTGTGTCGAAAAGTCGTATACGCACCCACATATACGCATGTACAGTCACATATTCAACACAAATTGCATGTCGCAAGGAGTGTTTTATTGAGAAAGTCACATAAATTAATATTGTAAGCTAATATTAAGTGGCTAATATTGGTTTTGGTGTTATCACATGTCATAGACAGCCTGTAGACGAGTTCACCATAGCGGATAATACAAAACGATACAAATGGCATATCGTACATTTTACTATATGTATGGACCACGCTGACGAAACATTACACACACAGGATACGAGTGATTTTACGACATACGGATTAGCAGCGCACTTGAGATTCGCCATTCGTCTCTCTCTATATACAAATTATATATTTAATATAAATAAACGAATCTCTGCACACGTAATATACAAAAGAGTAAGAAAGGGGGGAGGGGGGAGGGGGGGGGAGGAATCGCAGAGTATTCTCTAGACGGAGAACGGCGACGCCTCGACGAAGAGGTGTTTTGTCATGAGAAATGCTGTGTACATATCTACATACAGAACATACCGTACGGACGACGTACATGTTCGACGTTCTGCGAATAAATAGCCGCTTAAGAGAATAAATACGCCGTGGCAACTAGATTGATCTACCCCGCGTGCGTCAGACGACGTTGCCGCAATTACGTCGACAAACGTAGATAAAAAACAGAAAGTGTGGGAAGAGAGGGAGGGGGAGAAAGTACGCGTGGATGCAGTGCGTCAATAAGCGTAAAAACTAAAGCCTCCTTTCGAGCTCGGCGGTACTCTAATACTTCTCGAGCCGGCCGACACCTGACGACTTAGCGCGATAATGCTCTTAATACTAAAACGGACATTTCGATTTGACAAATGCCGAACAGCGGCTCCAACCGCGCCGCGGAGAGACGCAGCGAGTTTCGTGTTATTTATTTTGATTACGGTGCAAGGCGACGGTACATCGCTCGGCTTTGCCGCAACGCCTGTCGTCGAGTTTCCAAAACTCGCGTCGTTTTTTTTTTTTTAAATAAACAGTTTCAACGTTCAATCGCACAATTATTCTGCCGATTAATCAGACCCACGTTGCGCACAGGCAAAAGAATACGTTGTCGGAAGAAAAATGCGACGAGTTAGTCGAGAGGAGAGACGAGCCGCCGACTGCTCGGAACACAAACGTTCGCATCGCGAATTCAGTTCTCATTCACACAACCGTACTGTCCGTTGAAAAGTAAAAGGTAAAATTAGGAAGTTAGTTAAAGACTGCGGCGAACTAGAAAAATATATCGATCCACGTGCCACCAAAAACCACACGATGCACCGTCTTTTCATCATAACCGCGCTTAACCTACTTCCGTTCACTTATTCGTCTCGATCGCCCGACGTCCCTTGCCAAGTTCACGCAACATACGCGAACGCGGGCGTAATTTACGCTGCTTTCCTTTGCACCGCGCGTATTTGCTCTCCCGTACGATCGCGCCGATCATTGAAGGAACTAGTACCCTCGCGATTTCAACGCGCAAAATTCCGCGCAGCGCCGCGAGGTCCATCGCGATTCAACACTCCTCCGTGGACGTGCTGGAGATCTGCGTGCTGGCGCCGCTGGAGAAGCTACTCCTGCAAGTCTCCACGGCGAGAGCGGTGTCCGGCACCTGGACGAACTGCACCTTCTCCTTGGGCCACCGGCTCCTGCCGTAGACGCAGTTGAAGATGTTGTAACGATGATCCATCTCCAGGTGGCTCAGAGTGCTGCTGTGCCGTCGCTTCAGCACCTTCTTCGCCATCAAGCTGCGATTGTTCTTGTACGAGAGCTCGCGGTGGAAGCAGAAGAACTTACGCAGCTCCCGTTTCACCCGCCGCGACCGATAGCCGAAGAGCAACGGGCTCACGTAGGCGGCCAGGATCAAAAAGCTGAGCGCGAGCACGTCGTATTCGTGCGGGAACGCGTAATCCGAGTACCGCGGCAGGTACTTGATCATGTTCAACAGCACGTACGGCGACCAGCAGATCAGGCCCATCACGATCACCAGCGCGCTGATTCTGGCCGCCCGCGTCTCCTCGCGATACCTGAACAGGGAGCCGTTGCTGATCCGATGCTTGAGGGAATTGATGTAACTGTTGGTGCTACGTACACTGGCCACACGGTGCAGCGAGCTCGACTTGCCAGGCGCGGGCGTGATCGTCACGATGGGCGTCAGGAAGCACGAGGACGAGGCTTCCGGGCTGTTGTACCCAACGTTTTCTGCATTTCTGCCAATCGCGTACGATTCCACACTGGCATCGAGGACACTGGGTCTCGACAAACGCCGACTGGGTCGCCTCGGTCTCTTGTTCTCCGTGTTACCGCTTTCGGAATTCGGCATCTCGTCTTGCCCTTGTTCCCGTTCTATTGTCTTCACCGTAACAGAGACCTCCTCCTCCTCCTCCTCCTCCTCCTCCTCGTCGTCGTTACAGCAAGTCGTCGCCTTGAAAGAATCCCGTTCGAGATTGTCCACGTCATCACGCGATGGCCTCTCCTCCGTCCTCTCGCATCGGGCAACTGACAGGAGACAATCGGAGGATCTTCGATCCGTGAGGATCTTCATCTTGCGAGTTGTTTTAGGAACTGTTAAGGAGTCGAAGTAATCGTAGCGTCGCTCGTCGTTCTCGGAATCACTCGAGTCCGCCCCGGCGATCCAACCGGAAGATTCCCCGATCTCCGATCCGTCCGTTAGATCACACGAAGATTTCCGTCTCCGATCAGCTTCCGTATCGTGGAATTTGCTCGCAACGAGGTTCCCGTTGAAGGACGAAACGCGCTCCCTCTCGAGGTAGTTCGTCTGCGGATCAGCTGGCCCCGTGAAATTACTATCGTTGCTTTGATCAGACGGCAGCATGGATTCCACCGGTTGCAGTCCTACCGTGAAGACGATCCCCGACGACGTCTGCTCGTCGTTCGATCCCGCCTGCGCCGCGTCCAGGGACGACGAAAAGGATCTCCGACGCGATATCTGATTGATCGAGTGCGTAGTCTCGCTCGTCTCGTCGATCGACGAGAGACTCGAGATTTTCGGTATCCTACGGAACTCTTCGGGAAACGCGTCGGCGGACGATTGATGCTGCGCCTTCACGTAATAGTACGGATCTTCGCTGAAGCTACCCGACGAGAGAATCGGTCGCGAGCCAGTCCTGCGAGTTCTCTCGGAGTTCCGGTGGGCGGCCGAATAGATGCTGATATAAATCCAACAGACACCGGCGAACGGAAGCAGATACGCGAACACGCTGTGTACGACCGTGTAAATGAGTCCGTAGGTAACAGAGTCGTTGGTCACGGTACGAAAAATCACGGTGGAGTTCTCGAGCAGGCCGACGCCGCTGTCGATCTTGATCGACTCGATCAAGTGTTTAAGTAACGTTGGCCCCGTCACCTCGTCGATCAGCTCCTCCTCCTCCTCCTCCTCCTTCTCCTCGCCTCCGGTCCCGTTGCCGAGGAACGCGAACGCGGACTCGAGCGACGTCTCCGACGGCTCCGTCGTCGCGGTAACGTTCGACGTCGCGAATTCGCGGTAGGACGAGTTGTTCAGCAACGTGCTGCAGGACAGCCACAGGCTACGCGGGCTCGGGTTCAAGGCAGCGACCAGGCCGAACGTCATTGAAACCAGCCAGATGGAGACGATCAGCACGGCCGACTTGAGCTTGTCGACTCGAGCCCGGTAACGCAGCGGGTCCACCACGGCGAAGTATTGGTCGACGGCGATCAGCAGGACCGACAGCACCGACGACGTGGTAACGAGCGCGGTGGCACCTTCCGATATCGCGCAGATATTGCTGGCGGACGTCGACGTCGAACCAAACGGCGACGTGAAGTCGTCTGAAGTCGTGGACGCCATCAGCGTGCCGTCTTCTACCGTCGGGCCGTCCATCATCAGCAACGGGTTCAGCACGGCACAGGTCAGCAGATTCGAAACGGTTAGGTTCATCACGAATCTGGAATTGAGACAGAACAGGCCGTCTTCAATCACATCGAACGTTGACAATGTCCCCGGCTCCTGTGTGTGGTTGTCTTAAATTAGGAATCGATGATTGATGGAATGACAACAGCTCAGCTTGAGCCATGCGATGGGATCCGTTACGATTGATAAATCAACCAAGATGCGAGGCGGAATAGAATAAGAAAAGAAGAAGGGAAGATCTTTCGTTTATATTTGTTTTTTCACACGAGTCAATTTTCAATCCAAACGACTTGACAGTTGATTGAGCAAACGTATATAATTCATTGGTAGAAAGCAACGTTAAAAGAGCAACATTAACACGAAGCCACGGAAAGCACACACCGAAAGAAAGGAAAGCGGAGTTTTATTTTCGTATTTTGCTGCTGCGCTTTTAATTACAAGTCACAGTGTGAATTGTACCGAATTGCTTAATATTCTTGCTCCTCGTGGATGGATTGCACTCGCCGTTTCTGCCAATATGACAAACACGTCTTGAAAACTCTCGTCTCTTTAAAGTACTCATGGTATGATTCGTTTCATTTATTTGTGTTATCAACGGATCGACGAGCGAATTCAACTGATCGCTCTGATCCAAGTATAACTCGAAAGTATCGTTCGCGTTATTTTGCAAAACGTCGGGCACGAGATAATAAATGAATTTCCCTTTATACAGCGAATGAATGTTACAGTTTCGAGTTGCACTGTTAACAGCGACGAGACGTTCTGAAAATACGACAGATTTATTATTACATTTCGTTGCCGCGGTTGCCAAAGTTTGGTACTCGGCGAGTAATTGATTTCCTGGCTCAGCAGGTGGAAGCCTAACGTAATAACAATGATATAGATCCAGTCGTGGTAGTTGCGCGGCACTCTATTAATACGGCTTACTAATATCAAACTGAAAACGTTTACATTCGCAGAAATTAGTTGAGCCCCGGCCCAATCGAATTTCAATAAACGAGAGCTGACATTACACTCGTCTCTCGGCGCAGGAACATTATTTACGGTCGTCCGGGATATTCAAACAGCGCGACGCGTCATATTGATTTGCATAAAATTTTGTTTGTACAGTAAATAAGAGTCTATCGCGCAGTCTGAATACGTCGGTCATCCTTACATCTCACGTACGCGGTTATTTTTACGTTGCCTGCAAATAGGCCTCGAGTCATTTGCGCGACGGCGAAATCTCCGATGAAATTTACAGGGGGAAAACGCCTATATATCTACCTACCTACCTACCTAACTACCTCCGTCCTTCCGCATTACGTCGCGCCGACGACGACGCGACAAAGTCGCAAACTGGAATATTTAGACTGGCCAGAGTCCCACGATCGAGGAGAGCGCGCGGAATTTGTGCAATCTATAGAGAACGGCGCATTGAAAATGCGTATTTTATTTACAGACACGATAGAAGATGTACAAAAGTCCATATGCAAAAGCGTGCAAAACGCGAGCGAAGAAGTTATTTTTCCCGCCTATCGCGATACGGCGATTGGCTCTCGGCCGTTTTTAACGAAATATCCAGCCGTACAGGTGCGAGAACAGGTGCGACAACATTATCCGTAACTGAATTTCAACTGTGACCAAAATAACAAAAAGAAAAAATGATCCGTGCGGTACGCTCATCGAAGCGCTTTTAATTTTAATACAGAGCAAGCCGCGGATATAAATATCGGTCGGCTGACGAGGGGTTTCTATTTATTTCGGACCGCAGCCTTTACTTTACAGTGCTCCCTGCCGTTATTTCACTTTACCGCGGTAAAACCGTAAAAGTTTGGTCAGTTATCGACTCGGGGGGGGGGAGGGGGGGGGGGGGAACGCGAAATGCCGTCGCCATCGATGTGTATACGGGGTTATTAACCTTGGCACGGAACGCAAAAACTGCGTGAAATGAACGCACCGTGGATTATTTATCGCCATCGCGTTTCGGTGAATATTACGCGAGAGTTATGGCGACGCCTAAATATATTATTTCCATCTCGTCGTCTCGCGCGCGCGATTTGCTTTTATTTCCGGTTTGGCGTGCGACGCGACAAACGCACACGCCGGTATCCTTTGCGGTCTTTGCTGTTCCACAAGAATAATTACGCTCGTTATCACATACGTCGACGAACTGCGTTTAACGAATTTCAAAAACTGCCGCCTACGACACCACCAGCTGACGTTCGCTCGTGTGACTGACTGCACTTCGCTTCTTCGATGACAACATGATGGCACAATTTTGCAATCGCATTAACATCAACAACATCCAGTAATTTATTTGTACATTATTCTCCCTCTTCCTACAAACAAGTGTAGCGTGTGGTAATTCGAGTTGTTGACATTGAAACGTTTGGAAAAGAAAGATAAAAAAAGACGCAGCAAGATACATGTATGTGTGTTAGATAAAAGTCTCCGAGGAAATGCTAGAATGATAGTAAAAGTCAATAACAAATGTTTTCTCTTCGCGGAAAAAGAGACCGAGGGAGAGCGACTCGGACTTGATTTCCAACTTGATCATTCCCGGCACGAATGAATCGATCCACTAACCTGTTGGAGATGGTGCGCAATCCCGGCCTGACGAGAAACGCAAGCAGAAGAGTCGCGTTGAGGAGAAAGCAGCCGAAGAGGACGAAGCTCCAGGCCGCGATCCCCGGATTGTTCCACCATCTTTCCAGATTTCCCAGGTCCGCAACCGATCCTCCTCCAATTCCCGTCGCAGCTCCATCCATTCACGAATGATAAGTATATTACTGACTTGGATCTGGAACAAAATGGGACAACGCCGTTTCCGTCAGAGTCGGCCTTCCGAGCGTTCTAACGAAATCATTTCGAGATCAACGTTTCGTGATCCTCCAATTCTAATCTCTAAGCGCGAGATTAATTTCGTAATCCCTGGCGCGCCAAGGGAATCCAAGCGTTAAAAGAAATTCAATCTAAAGATCTGGCAGAAGGTCCGCCGTAGGTCTGGCATTTTTCAAGTAAACACTCGTGGATATTACCTCGAATATTATCGTGAAATTCAATTTACTTGGAGCGAGAAGGGGTTCTGAGAAATTATAAATTTACTCTCTTGGAGCGAGTTCCAAGGAAGTTGTGCGCGATCAATTCTTCGATTGTGGTCCAGCTTCCCGTTTTCTCGCTCGACAAAAAAATTTCTTATTGCGTTCACACGAAATGGATATCGATTTCGCGATAATGTCGCGAGAAAATGGCATTTTCTCCACCACGACCACGACGGCTCTCCGTCAAGGAGTTCCCAGTCGTCATGTATTTTTAGATGGATTTCCCCGTGCACACACGTGCGTTGCAAAAATATCGCCGCGTGAATATGTAACACGCGTGTATACACGCGCTCAATTGTACGCGCACGAACGAGATCGATCGAGATCACATGAGGGATTTCTTAAGAAAGAGCCCCGTGCGCTCACATGACGGGAAAAACGTACTACCTTTTGTATCTGCGATAACGAAAAGATGGTTTCCGCGAACCGTCCGTTGTTGTACCCGCATATAACAGTTTCGAACAAATGCGGTCTTATTTCAATAATAAAAGAGAGATTATCCACGCGGGACCGAGGTTAATGCAATGAAGATGTCTTCTGAATATAGCGCGGCGCACGTTTCTCAGGCTATCTTTGTCTCCCTTTCTTCTCCCGCATTTCAAACGCTTCAAGCTGGTGTATTCACAATCGATTTTTACATTTAAGAACTGTCTTGAGCGCAGTCTTGAGATGTCGCAAACCAATTAGAGGGATCGTTACGCGCCGTATTAGCGTTTTTAAAATATTTAATAATAAAATAGGTTGTTCGGAAAGTAATTTCGTTTTTTCTTATGAAAATGAAAGACGATTTTCAATCAGACGCGTTTCAAATGATCATGAACGGTCGAATTCGATCAATTTAATCTCTCAGCGATCTCACGAGTTGTTATTCGCCGGTTTGCATCAATTAACGCCTTTATTGTGTCTTCATCAGCTTCAACTGGCCTTCCAGAACGTGGTGCATCTTCAACATCAAAATTGCCGGATCGAAATTTTGCAAACCAGTTTTGGCACTGGCGTTCTGTCAATACATCCTCTCCATACACATCGGATAATGTTTCTCTTGCTCGAACAGCATTTTTACCTTTTCGATAGTAAAAGAGTAAAATATGCCGAAAATGCTGCTTTTCACTTTCCATATTTGATAGGGCATCAACCAAAAACTATTGCGTAGAATCAATCGAACTTTTTTCACAAGCAAGCCTTGCTATATCAGCTGTCAAAATATATAATGATTATGCGGCTTAAGTGTGAAGTTGGCTGTGAAAAAATACAATTAAGTTCTCTGTTGGGAAAAAACGAAATTACTTTCCGAACAACCCAATAATATTAAGACGATCGTGTAATAGGAAACGGATTACGAATACCTATGGTTATACTTTTTCAAGCGTTCGAAAGTATGAAGTCATCCTCAAATTATGTATTTAAGTTATGTTTCCTTAATAATATAAAACAGGTTGATTCAAAAAGATTAATGGTATTCGTACATGTGAATGAATAATTTTAATAAGGGAAAAAACGCGAAGGTGTATAACGAGTTTCGAAAATAAAATCGATTCTTCTCCTCCATCTCTCTCTCTCTCTCTCTCTCACTCTCCATTTCTTTATCCGATTAACGTCAACTAATTTTTTTTTCGAATGACGGTACATCGTTGTTCGCTCGTCTTTTTCCTTCGCACTGCTATTACCCGAATGATCGATCATTCAAGTCAATATAATCTTTATCATTAACATCTTTTCACTTATCTCTCAATCTGCGCGAGGTATTCGTCGCTTTTAAAGTCCCTGTTCAAACGTCACGGACGATATTTCATATTATCAAGATAATCATTTTAAAATCACGACAATCTTAGCACTTGTAGCGGGACGTTACAATTACGATAAGAATTATTTAATTAGATAGAGACCTCTCATTTAGACTTTATACCTGTTTAGACAGGCAATACTTAAAGTCGTAAATTATAGCGGTAAGTGCGACAATGACCTAAATTCCCAAGTCAGTCTCGTAATTCGTAAAACGCGCCGAGATTTCCTTAGGCTTGACTAGAAAGATAATTAGTCTCGCGATATAATCTTGATTCGATTCGTACGGCTTTAGTTTCGCGAGTAAAAAAACGGAGGGGGAGAATAATGTTGTACGATATAAGGTAGTGGGATTCTAAGTTCGTACACGATTCTTTTCTGCGGTGATGAAGAATAACGGGAAAAGAGGAAAGCCAACAAAGTGGAACTTATCACTTCAACGTGCTGCGACCGACCTTACGCTCGATTGCTGCGAAATCTGGCAGTGGCTCAAAATGCTCGAGACGCTGAAAGAAAAACGAATGAAAGAACGAGAGAGAGAGAGAGAGAGAAACAGAGAGGACACGTCGAAGGCATCAATTTCTGACGATCCGCCGATGTACAGGACGGCCGTTTATTTCCGTTTGGCGGAAATTCTCACGAGAAATAGCCGTTTGGAGATCCGATCGGATACAACATGGATCCAACAACAGCCGAACGATCCGAATTATCTCAGGTTGCTTTTTGAAATAGGCATTATCGCGCGACGAGCCCGCGTCGTGAGTCACGATCTCGCGTTCGCGAACGACGAGAACGTACCGGTTGCCAATGGAAATAAACAGGACTTCACGTGATTTTATGGAGCGAGTGATAATTGAGCTGGGAGTGAGGCCATTTCGTACATATGACGACCGTTCTCGTTGCGCAATAAATGCGCAATCCCGCCTTTAACTCGCTCTTATTCCACGGTGTCTCTCTCGGGCCTGTCTTCCTCTCGACACGTGAGAAGGATGTTATTTCAAATCTACTTTTATAACCGGTGCCGAGTATTACGAGCGGAATATACGTCGCGACATATACGTTTCGCAGGAAAAATTGTGGGTCTCGTAAATGTAAGGTGTGTATTACGGGAAGGCTGGAAAATAATCTGCGCTTTCCACGATATATTTTCGACGTGGCGCAGTTATGACGTCATTAGTGTCCTCTCATCTCTTGAAATTGTTTCAATCGTCTAATTAAATCAACAATTTAATGTTCTGCACAGCTTGCTCTTCTCTCTCAATTATTTTAAGTGGAATCTCGCACGGGAGAGTGAAAATTGTGCCCGGGTTGAAAAAAAAAGAGTCGTTCAATTTTCGATCTTTGAGAGCGGTATTCGGATCTGATATTTAGGACTGTCCTAAGTCTACAGTCTTGGTAACGTTACGAACCGATCAAAGGGTTCTGCGTTAGCATCTTGAGACATTGCTTGAGATCGATCTTGAAATAAGAACCGATTGACAAATATCAGCCCGGGAGAAAGATTTCGCTCTTTCGAGAGAATTTTCATTTTCTAAACATTTTAGAGCGATCCTTAATATTTGAAATATTATTAAATTAATTTTCACGCACAACAAACTTTATCCCTTTAATTACCACAGTCTTCCTCGTCTTCAGGCTACGTGATTTAACGTGAGTCTAAATGATCGTACGCATTATCTGTCGCGGTGTTAACCGGTGCAATTTCTAATTCCACTTAGCATTTCGAACCGGAAGGCAAACTTATACAGTACATTGCGTATGTACTGTTGATCGCGAGAGGCTCCAACACGCGCGCCGATTACGTGCGAAATTTCGCTGCGTAACGCGTCTTATAACGGCGTTATTTTCGCGCGCGTGACTCGATAAGCGACTCGAAATCGCTTCCGCGCGAACGACCGCGCGACAACGTCTGCCATTGTATATCCTGGCAGAAATAGCGCGGAGAGATCTAAACAGAAACACCGCGAGTCGCTCGTTATCCGCCCGTCAATTGCGCACGGCGCGGGCGCGATAACAGGTTCGCCGGCAGCGAATCCGAAGCAGATGTCATTGTCATTCCGAGTGTAAAGCGTGCCGCTCACGTGAGCCGACGTGGACCGTGCGATATGTCGTGTCCGCCCGCGCGATGCGGGTACGCGGAAATGTACGTATCGGGGAAATCGACGACGTCGGCGTCGACGTTGTTGACGTTATACACGGCTCCGATCTCGAGCTGCTCGATTCCGTATATCGATTTTCGAACGCGCGCTCACGACGACGTCCCCTCGCAACAGACTAAATCAGGTCTAAATCTTCCACAAAGTTAGCGCTCGTATAACAAGAATGGTACGATAAATAACAGTACGGAACGCAATGCCGAACGACGTTTCGAAAGTTACTACAACTTTTACGCGATCACTTTCATTTTACATCTGTCTAGCGAACAGTTACAGTAAGTCAAGTAAGAGCGTGGTCGGCCTTACTCGAAGCTAATAAAAGATGTCGCCCTGAATCTATCATGAATCCATAGAGGGTACCTTTGTCCTTGATGCACTATCAAGGAAGATTCAGTTGTCATTGAACTTCTTAAGAGAATCACATTGGAAAGGTCGAAAAATGTCACAATTAGCGGCTGCTAAATATTAGGTGGTTCGGAAAGTAATTTCGTTTTTTCCCAACAGAGGACTTATTGTATTTTTTCACAGCCAACTTCACACTTAAGCCGCATAATCATTATATATTTTGACAGCTGATATAGCAAGGCTTGCTTGTGAAAAAAGTTCGATTGATTCTACGCAGTAGTTTTTGGTTGATGCCCTATCAAATATGGAAAGTGAAAAGCAGCATTTTCGGCATATTTTACTCTTTTACTATCGAAAAGGTAAAAATGCTGTTCGAGCAAGAAAAAAATTATCCGATGTGTATGGAGAGGATGTATTGACAGAACGCCAGTGCCAAAACTGGTTTGCAAAATTTCGATCCGGCAATTTTGATGTTGAAGATGCACCACGTTCTGGAAGGCCAGTTGAAGCTGATGAAGACACAATAAAGGCATTAATTGATGCAAACCGGCGAATAACAACTCGTGAGATCGCTGAGAGATTAAATTGATCGAATTCGACCGTTCATGATCATTTGAAACGCGTCTGATTGAAAATCGTCTTTCATTTTCATAAGAAAAAACGAAATTACTTTCCGAACAACCTAATATATGAAAAAGTCGAAATCATTCGTACAGAAGCGAGTGCAGCGATATAATGTGGCAAAAAATGTCGATTTACCGGAATGATTTACCGAAACGTGGCTCGATATGCAAAGTGGACAAAAAAAGACGATAAAAAAAATAGTGAATCTGTTTTCGCGGAATCCTGGCTTGACATTGGCGTCAAGGACAAGTAAAATTGAAGCAGAAAGGTTTAGATATATCGTATGAAACTATTCGAACCTATCTCAAGGCTAATAACATGAACATTCGACCACGCTCTTACTTGACTTACTGTATCGTGCCTTATATCCTTAAAATTCGTTTCATTAAATGGAACAGTTTAATGGAACATGTGCAACAAACCTTATAGAATTCAGTTCAATCTTGATAGTCAAGTAACTTAGTAATTAAATGACAAGATATTGGTTCGGACATCACGCGTTTTCTCCTCTTTTTATGTGTTATTAGTTTATGCTTTGTACGCGCTATCATTGTGCAATTTGTTAATTTATCTTTTGTACTGAAGAGGACCTTGACCGTAGGTCGAAACGTATACGTTTAATATTCACTTTGAATAAATGATATTATATATTACGCACTAACAACCAGTGTTGGCTCAAATTGGCATTTTATTTATTATTTATGTTTTAGAATTTTTCTTCAGAGCCTATTGATTTTATTGTTTCACGCGATGTTTTTGCCACAAGAACCAATCTGTCACAAGTTGAGATTTAATTGGAATTTTAAGGGACGAAACGACCCCTTTGAAACTTAATGGCCCCGAGAAGAGAGGGGTTATTTTTAAAACGTTGGATTTTTTGGAAAATCTAAATACATAGTTATCGCAAGTATATTAAAAATCATAAAAGTTTCGTCTTCATCGTTTCATCAATATAATCGATTTGAATCAAATATAAGCGTTGGGGCTCTTTCCGCGAGGGATCATCTCATTCTTCAAAACGAAACTGAAAACCGATATGAAAATTGAAAAACTGTTTCTTTCAGATTTTTCAGTTCAATCAAGAATCGAATCGAAATCCAGACAGTTGCGACGGATCTCTAATTGCAAGTTCCAGACAGCGCGGCACTACGTGAGACACAATTTATCACGCGCGAAGACGAGTATCTCGGAAATCTCTGATACTTCCGAAGGTCGTTCGATATTGGGTTAACAAGAGAAATTGGGTAAAGCCGATAACTCACCAGGGATATGTGAAACTTAGTTGATCTCGATACAAGGGCATAACGTGGCGCCGAGATCGCATTTATTCCCTTCGTACCAGTTCTCCGTGCTCCATTCTCGAAGACCTTGAAGATAAAATAGACACCAGAAAAGCATTATTCTCACTGTGCGCTCTTTCGGCTTCCGAAGAAACAGTATTTCTCAAGTATCTCTTATCGCCCGTCGCGACCGCGCGACGCCGGAACGGCCGCAAGATGCAACTTGAAATAGATTTCGCGTAAGAATCGTTTATTCACGATTATTACATTTTCCAATGTAAAAAAAGGTATCTCCAATTTGCAAAATATACATAACGGAAAGTTCAAAGCGACGTCCACGTCTCATTTAGAAGTAAATAAAAAAAGACGCGTGCCGACGACGAAGAATGAAATAGAGATAAAGAAGAAATTACATCGGAATTTACATTGTGCAATTTATTTCGCATGTTAAATCGCTCACGATGTTACATGTACGCCCTCTTCGAGAATAATTATCAAATCTGTTTTCCCAATACGATAAGCCAGCGGATGAATCGAACAAGCGCGGCTGTACAATGATAAGCGATATTTTTTTGTAGCATTGTTGAAAAGTTAAGTTCACGCGCGTATAACGTCTACGATGCTCTTTCTGGAGTCTTCTCCAGTTTGGCCTTGCATATATTATCTCACCGGCGATTCATTCGAAAGGATCGATTAATTCCAGAAATCTCACACTATCGCGAACTTCGATACAACTCCCTGTCACTCGAGACGAAGCGGGGCGCGAAAGGAAAATTCATTCGGGATGAAGGACACTTGGAAAAATTGCACCGTGTGGAAAATTTCAAAGTTACGTTTCGATCAACAGATGGAAAACCGAAACTTTAAACAGTAACAAATAGCGATTCCGGGGAAACGTAAAATACGATAGTGAAATCTCTTCGCTCTGGGGAAAAAAAAAAAAAAAAAAAAGAAAGAAAGAAAGAAAAAAGTATACACCCGGTGTGAGATGCTACATACAAATATTACCCCGATCTGTAAACGGAAATATACAACTCGTTTAAAAAAACAAACTCCTCGTGAAAGAATGGCGATTTCGTGAAAACAAATCTTGGCACCTTCCGCAATTCGCGCGGCTTCTGTGTATTGCACGGAATTTACGAAATTTTTCACTCACCCGACGTTGCGTAAATCCAAATTCATTCGTAGACAAAAAAAAAAAACCTTCCTTGAGACAACGTTCGTTTTTGCCCGAAATTTTCCGGAGGGCTGATGAAATAAAAGATAGAGACACAAAGTTATCGATGAGTTATTCGCGGGGAAGCAAAGGTCACTTCAATTAAAAAATCAATTCGCTCGTGAGAAAGATTAACGTCTCTGAAAGTTGCCTAATGGAGAGGACGGTCGAAGATGACAAGTGTTTAAGACGTCTCGCGAGAACCAACTGACACACAGTGAGCGAACAACGTGGGATTGAGGAATCCCGCCGTTGACGAAATGTTTAAAATCACTTTGGGAAAAGAAGGCAGAGAGAGAGAGAGAGAGAGAGAGAGAGAGAGAGGAGGGGGTGGGGGGAGGTGTCTATATTAAGCATTAATGTAAGTACATCGTGAGTATCATATGATTGCGAGAGAGCCAATATTATATCTTATCGACCTCGGATAAAATGTCGCCGGTCTTATTGCAACGCAATCTCGCAAGATTACGCGATTATCTAGCCGAGGAACGCGCGAGAGAGAATTAGCATACCAGAACGTAAACAGGTGTGGAAAGAGCACCTGGTGAGAGACAGATAGGGTCCCGACATTAAGGTCATTAAGATTTGCCAAGTATAAAAGTCTGTCCTTAATCTTCACCGCAGCTGCGGAAGAAGATCGTAAAATATCACGAAGCGCATATATATATATATTCGCAGCCATGCGAATACACACAATTTTTGCGTCGCTACTTTTCGCATCGTATCACAGCATCCGATTACATTAACGAAACAGCGGCGGACGCGAGGAAATTGACGTCTCTGCATTTCTCGCCAAGTTATTCCACTTTACGACGGCGCCGGTAATTGGAATTAATCAATTCATCATCGCCCACGGATGCGGAAGTAATCGTCCCTTTGTTCGTTTTTTACCTTCCCAAATTTAATATTTCGTTATTTATAATATTACCGCCGCCGCCTCTGTCGCGTCTTGTTTCCGCCGCTTCCGTGGAAATTACTTCGAGGGAAGTAAAAATATCGATGACGCGTA